GATGGATTACCATTGATACTATCGAATACGAATAGAACTTTACCACCGTTTTGTGATGATCGAAGTAATGGGAGAAGTTCTTGTACGAATAAAATTCGACCATAATAATGTAAAGCCAATTTATTATCAATATTTTCCGTTGTTGGTGTTCGACCTGTCATAGTTAAAATTCCTTGTGTTTAAATTAACATATCAACATCATTAATCTTCTTTGTTGTAGTTCGAATTTCAGACATTAGTGAGACATCAGCACGAATGAATTTGGGATTTGAACCTAATTGTGGTAGAATAGCATTGGCAGCAGATTCATTTCGTCCAACAATGATAATATTAGCAGATGGACAATGTTGAGCTATTGAAAGAGCTATTGCTCGACCAATACCTGCTGTACCACCAACAACAACAACGTTTGGAGGTGATTTTAAAGAAGACAGAATACGTGCGTTTGAAGCAGTAGCTGCTCGTACAGCGGCAGACATTTTCAATGTATAATTCTAAAAAAGAAATGTTTGAAATACTAGGCCTATATGCAAAAATTTGTACTCAATCATAATTACTAATTAGATCACTGAAAAAATACTAAAGATAAACAAAATTTTATTCTTGAAAATATTAGATATAAAATACAAATAGAATTCAGTAGACGATTCCTTCGTTAGTTGTTGTCTGAGTAACAATAAATCACATGATTCTAAATTAAAAAAAGCTTTTTCTTAATTCTCATTTCAAATGAAATGATTTAGTATTTTCCTCTTATTTCTCTGAAAAAGTAAGGCTTCGATAGAGTTAGTGTTACTATTCTGAGTTTCAAAAAAACTAAAGATATAAAATTGATTGCTAGAGTTCGAAGAGAATAGATTTTTTATTGATTACTATGATCGATCAAGCCATTAACGAGGGAAGGTCACCAAGTGTGCCGCGCAGTTGTAAATCGGATCTAGATGATGCTAAAAAAGGTTTGTTCCCATACGTTGTCGTTCTCGAGTTATGATCATTTTACTGAATTTTCGACCTCTAGTAAGATATATATGAGAAAATCAAAGTATGGGATTTTGACCTGAAATTTTACTCATAGATAGGTTTTATGATCCTTTGAATGTCCTAAAAATTTCAACCCAAAAGAATGCTCTTCTCTTGATATATCGAATGTTGAAGGCACTGGTTTTTCTGACCTTTCCTTGCGACACATGATCATTTTTTGAATACTCATTATCTGTAGAAGAAAACATTCTTTTGGCCTAAAATTTTTAGCACATTCCAAGAACCATGAGATGGGCATAATTTCAGGTCGAAATTCTGTGGTTCGATTTTTCCATATATACCTTACTAGAGGTTGAAAATCATTAAAACTGTCATAACTCGAGAAGGACAGGATATGGGGATGGACTCTTTTAGGCTTCGCCTAGTCTCATCGAGTTCTACTAATTGGTATAGATCCGATTCAAAACGGTACGTTTTCAGGGTTTGACAGTTCTCACTATATATCATACTCTGTTATCGCGCTATCTGTATAGAATAGAACTCGTTTTAATTAATGCTGATAAACTATCAATTCTCAGAAAGATACCTAAATATGGATAAAGTGTGTTTTACATCTCATTAAAATAAAGTATTATAGAATTAAATTAGCGTCTAGTTTTGCTCGATTATTATGATCTTATTCACATATGATTTAGTGGTTCGTTTTCTCTATTTTTCAAACAATATATTTAAAATTGTTTGGTCGAAACGGTTCTAGTAGCACAAATTCAGTATCTACTAGTGGGGTAGAATGATGACTAATGTTAAGACCAAGATGAACCATACTATTTTAAGTATGCGCTAACCAAAACAGTCGAAAAAAAATTTCAAATCACCTCCATGGTTCTTTTGATGAATCTACTGATCGTCATTTTCCTAGATTAGTTCATTTCACTAAGAGTTTATCTTCTGAGACGATAAAATAGTGCATTGAATACTTACCTTGTTGTATAAAAACAACAGAATATTATCTTTTCTCGTCTAAAAACACCACGTGTGCATGACATTTGTGAAAGAATTAAAGAAGAGGACAAAAAGTAATCAATAAACTGCCAAAGTAAAAGACGCCATTGCTTCTTTTACTGTGTAGCCTATGTAGTAGTCAGTAAAAAAAACATCAATTAATATCCGAATGATATATCTCTCAAGAAAAAAAAAACGACACATTGAATCGGTTGAATTATAAATCGTTAAAAATAGTAAGAATATTTGATTATTGTCTCTCATTGATTGAAGTCAGTCTTGAAGGTGAGCTGGTAGAGAATTGTAACTGGTCGACTGCTCATTACCAATTATTTTTCTTTTTGAGAACATGAAAGAGAAGAGAAAAAGATGGCGTACACATGCGTATCCACAGAAAAGAAGAGAACCAGTAAACATTCATCGATAGTCAGAACTTTGAATTGGTGCTTACGACATTAGATTTATTAAGTTCTATCAAAGATTGTTCGCTATCTCCACATACGACAATAGTGTTTTTTTTCAAAGAATCATAAACTTAATGGTAGACCTTGGCATATGATTAATACTACCCTTTTCTGGTCTTTATTGTTGTCATCTTCATAGTGATTTCCTCAAAAGTCTTGTGATCATTTTTTTACATGTAGTTTAAAGCTCTTTGCAAAATGATCGACAACATAAATGATCGACAGTCAAAAAATTGTATTTCCTGAATTTATCGACAGATTGTCTCATGATGTATTTGATTGCCATCTTTCATCGTAACTTCGTGGAGAGATCCTATCTGTACTAATTTGAGAACGCATCAGAATAAACAGAGTCGACATATTTTCAAAACTTCTGACTAATCTACAATATTCAATTTTCTATTTCGATAGAGAAAAAAATCCTTGTAGAGATCTTTTCGAAAATCAACTCAATACAATCGAATACTATCGGTCATGATCAACTGAAGCATCAACTTTGCTTTTAACAGAATCAATGGATTGTTTCAGAGTTTTTCAACTATGAATGGTCATTAGAGAACTTTGAGAAACATGAACCACGAAAGTTCAGCCCAATTTCTTTTCAGAACGAAAAGAAAATAGAGATTAAAACAAATTTATCTTGAATAGAAATCGAATATGGAGTTGTCTGAAATGGATTCTAAAATTAAAATAGATTAAAAAAAAACAGACAAGTAGTCATTCGAAGCAAATTCAAAAGTAAAATATAAAAAAATGAGACTAAAACTGCCATGCGATTGATTGTGGACTTGCCGATTGGCTTTGATTCACTCGAAACTCGTGTTGGATGCTGAGAATGATTGATCAAGGAATGATTATTGAAGGTAGATTTGCTCAATTTTTCAAATATTTTTCTCACAATGTCAACACTTGTTTACTGTCGGAACATTGTAATATAGTGACAACTCAGTATGATGATTTCCCTTGTTTTTTTGGTATATTCCAACATGTTACTATATTGACATCAAATAAACCCAATATTCATTTGTTCTTGTTCGAACAAAACTTCAATATACGACAAATTTTGTGGTTGTTCTAGGCGAGTTTGAGCGATGGCGGATGATAAGAGTAACTGTTTCTGACATGCTTGTGAACACTAGATAGATAATATATTAACGTAATTGTTCTCCTTTGATTGACACTGTTATTGCTGCTGTCAGAATATGGAACAAAAAACTGGCTAAAAAGACAAAGAAAATCATGCATGTCTAATATTCCATAGAAGAAGGAAGACAGCTTGAGCTGTGTGTATGCGAAAAATTCATTATCCTTGTTATAACTCATTAAAATGGAGTTCTTGTTGTCCCACGATGCAATTCGTGGGATTTTGACGATATAATAATCTTGTTTTGTAGTACCATTGGTAGCTCATAGTGAACTATCTTGTAACCAAGTAATTGTCCAAGTACTAGAAAATAGTGTTCTGCACAGATAGAATTTTACTGTACATGAACCCGAACCGGGCTGAGCCAACTGTGACCGAAAAACCGCAAAATTTTCGACTCATATTGGAGTTGCAAACTTTTTTCCTCTAAAAAATATTCTATTTAGTCAGACAGATAAATACCAATGAAAGGATAGAAATTATATGAAATCTTACAATAAAGTGAGTGCATAAATGATCTATTACACAGTGACAGCCTACTTCACTGTAAACGTGCTTGTACTTTTGATACTACTCAACATATAACTGTTCTTATTGTTGGTGACAGATTTCTAAAAAATTTTGAACTATTTTGAAAACTGCAAAAGCCAATGATTTGTTATTTTTTTGGTCGATTAAAGGGCAAGAAGAAATGAGATTGAGATTAGTCATTGAATTGATTATTATTCTGCTGAAGCTAAATACTTTCTGAAAAAGTAAAAAAAAGAATACAAAGTAGGCAATGATGCTTCAAAACCATATTACTTAAAGAAAACGGCGTTTTCCTTCTATTTTTATTAAAATTCCTATGATATGATATGCGTTATTCGAATTTAAGATCTGTTAATCAATATACTGTTAGAATGTTGAAAGTGCAAGCAATGTTAGCTACTGTCCACCTTACAGATAGTTGCATCTTATAAATGGACCGTTGCATATCGATGAAAAAGTTTATTACTTAAATCAGTGTATTGTTTATTCAGTTTTCAAACCATTTGTCGGATATGAAATGTCATGCTTTTCAAGTACATAATACGGTGGACCCACTTTACTCATGGATAAGCCATGTGCCATTTCAACTCGTTTCAAAAATTCTAGTTTTGTCTCACCAGGTACAACATTTATTGGAGCTAATCCAAGAAGACTTTCAAATTTAACGGTTCCATCAGCCATTATTTCATCTTCCTGATCAGTGCTTATATTTTTTAATTGTTCAACTGTACATACTTCATACCAGATGGTAAGTCGACATTTCGATTTTTGAGGATAAATAACTCGATGGATGCCTGGTTTAAGTCGATTTTGTGTTACTCGAGAAGCTGCTTCTCCTAACCAGATGACACCAACGTTTGGTTCTAAAGGTCCATTTATCCATTCATTATTCACCATATTTTTCAATTGAAGTCCTTCATGTGTCGATAAAAACTAATTGAAAGTAATCCTGGATCATAATGTGGAACACAGTTGACTTCTTCGATTGTTTGTCCATTCTGTGGTGGTTGGAAGCCACTTTTTCCGTTGAAATAGGATACAATGTCAAGCATACCGAAATGTTCATCTTGTAATGGAAGATTGGCACGTTCGATGAGAGATAATAAAGATGATTCCTGTTGGGATACTGAATACTGATCAAGAACTTCGATTAAACATTTTGTAATGGCATCTAATACTTGAGAAAGGTAATTCAACGGTTGAACAAGCGTCTTTGGTACCAACCCTTTATTTGCAAATTCGCCAAAATAACTTCCGGTTAGTAATTTGATTCCTTCTTTGTGATGCACTTTAGAATATCCATATATAGCCAAGCGCTGCGAATATCTACTCTTACTATTGCCAGACTGAAAAAATGTCGACAGTTCCTTAATCAAGTTTGAGTTCGGAATGAGTTCAGTTGGTAAATAGATGAAACACCAACCATTCAATTCGAATTCATTTTCCATTCGTTTTATTTCATTAGAATCGTTAAGATTTAATATTTTATTCAAATCGATAATGACTTGTGTTTTCTCGTTCGATGAAGACATGTTTCAGTAATTTTGTATATCAAGTTGAAAGTATTGTTTCTTTCAAAATATGTTATAGTTACTCAGCAACTGCTTTGTTTTATAAGCAAAAGGGTTATTGCACAATGTTTCTCGTATATAGCATCACTGGTTGTGAAATTATGTATACACACCGCTTACTCACTGAGAACTATGACTCTCAATGGCAACACATCAGTTACATCATGATTGGATAATTTTAAATGAGTAGTTCACAAGAGATGATATTTTTTTCATTTTCTATTCATATCGAAACATTTCACTGTAGATTTACATTTTCATTAATAGCTTAGAAATTTTTCATGAATATTATTTTGATTTTATAGGTCTAAAGTCAGAAAATGGAAAATGGAAAAGTCTGCGTGATATTAGTCGGTAAATATCTTGGAATGCTCTATTAAACAGCGCGAAATTCGTAAAAGACGATTGAGATGTTGCAGAGATATATGTTCGAAAAGTTTATGAAATGATTCAGTTAAACATATATTGAAATAGCAGAAAAATTATGTGACTTTGCCTATTGTACAATGAGTGTTTTGGTAACTTGCTACTACTTTAATCCTAAAAATATTTATCATCATTGCTTCTAGCTCTCTTTTTCCTGAATACCAATTCGAAGAAGCAGAATGAAACTAGATAGAGCAGAGCAAGAAAGTCTCTTTCCAACAAAACCTATCTGAGCCGAAGAATAGCACGATGTAGTATACCCAGGATTGTATATCACCAATACTTGATGAATCGCTAAATATCCAGATATCGAATTAATTCTACTTAGTCTATCATGATTTCCTAAACACAAAAGTTAAATATTACGTTTATTGAACTTCGCCACAGTGCTTGAATACGATCCAGGAGAATTTTTTGAAAACTTCGAGAGCAATGTTCACACTTTTTTTGCCTAATATTTTTTTCATTTGTTATTAGAATGATCCAAAACATGATGAGCTCTCCCGTGTTTCTTAGAGATAAATACAGTATGAATAGCTGCTTTCGTTTTCGCAGATAATTATCGAGAAGAAAATGATGAAGAGCACACTTTATTGAGTGTCGACAGTTGTTTTTTTCCAACTATTAAAAAGAAGCACATAATCCATACTCAGATGTGCTTACGACGACGCTCTAATCTTTCACCTTATTGTGGCAAGCAAATTCTATAATATACCTGTGCAGAGGCACGAATAAAAATATTTATAAACGACCTTACCACGAGAGTATAGGTTGTTAGACTTGGCTTGTCACTTACCGATGGTCTCTCTGCATGAGATAAAACTAACTGCAATTTCTATAAGATGATTTCAATAATCGTGTGGTCAATGAGCGAATTATCACATTGTAGAAATATGATAGGGAAAACAACGGAAAATATGCACATCTTACTTTGAACAGTGAAATTAATAACAGAAAATTGTCAATAATTATTTTTGGACGAGATGATTCTTCGAAATTGTTTCATGTTTGGAAAACTTCACTGGATGCAAGGCCTTAAAATCTGAATGGTATTCTCTTAATTTATATTTATATTTGTCTCTGCGGTTTTTGTAGAACTCCATATAGAGCGTGTCAGCACAGTCCCGATCAAGTTGATATGTCTGATTCACATGAGAATGTCGTACAAAAAAGAAGAACCAAAATAGAAATGAGAGAGGGAGCAGCCAAGAACACGGTATCGAACGAGAAAGCGCATTTTCTCAACTAAACATTTGCTGTCTATCCTACTAGACGAAGCAATAAAAAACCCTATTCCAGTTGAACTTTCTTTTTGTCATGTGTTTGACATGCACAGACCTCAAGACGTGCCCATATTACATAATTTTCTTTCCATAGACAAGTACTTGAATGCATGAATTATGTGCACATTTAAAGCAGCTCGTACACTGAAATCATGAAAATCATATGAATGAGCACAATTGAAACAACCAGCTGGTATATAATGATGAAAGCTTTTCTGCTCAAAGTGAAAGAAGGTTTTTTGTCATAACGGATATCTGAATCCTCCTATTCATATAGATTTCTTTTCAGGTCTGCCTGTTACAGATTTTTTTATTTAAGCTGTGAGTTTTTATTATGAGTCGAATCATTTTGAATGTTAAAATGAAAAAAAAAACGAGAAGCACTCATAGAATATAATTAAAATTAGTTTCATACATCACTAATACCGTTTTCATAGTTGTGAAAGATGACCGGATCTAATAGAATATTAGTATTGCTAGCTAGGGTGTTGGTATGGACGTGAGTGTCGATAAAGAGAATACTCACATCCATACTGCCACTGGCACCAACACACATACTCCCCTATACCCGATTTTTTTAAGGTTGCATATTGGGTTCTCATTTTGGTGAGCTCGAAAACCTTTTTAACGGTTTCGGATATTGGTATCCGACAAACTACTGTAACTGATTTTTACAGGTTTCTAAGACTTCTGAAACCCATGTTTGTAAACCCTTAAAAGGTTTCAAATAGTAACAAAAGCTTGTTAGCGCAGTTCCTTCGAAGCTGAAATATGGAACTCACAAGTATATCCTTTAACCTTGCTATCCTAATACATCATCCGTGAACTGAAAAATTTCTCGTCGATTGTAGTTGTTTTCACTAATAATCGATGACAAGAGCGAGAATTTATTATTTCTACATTTATTTCTAAATTTAAAACAGAAATTTTTTATTTTTTCTACGGGTGCCCTATTTTTTGTTTGCATTGTTGCTATTCGCTCATTATTTTTCACTCTTTGTTTAATTCGTGTTTTTTTAATTTAATATTCTTATTATTATAATCATTGAATCAGCAAATAAGTTTATTTTACGTATCCATGATATGTATGGCAGATCTTCCGTACTATTATATATGGGCGTGATCAACTGGTTGGATGTCCCAACACTCATTTATTCATGTAGATTCACCCATCTATCAGAAAAATATGATCTTTTTATCACTTATACCTCTTATATAATGCTACTGATCTGTGACTATTTGAGATCTATATATTAGTAAAAATGAGGGTTACTAAGGATGTCCTTATGATCATTGTGCTAAACGTGCTTCACATCGTATTTATTGACATCTTGTCTTTGGTATATATTCCATGTGCGATAATATTTTATCCATTGTATCCTAACGTTGTGTTCTAGTTGGATCATTCTTGTTCGAACTGTGATTCTTTTCGCTTTTCTTCGTTCTTCGTTTCCTTCAACACACGTTCACTCCATAACAAACGCTTATCACCCTTGGATTATGTCTTCTTCACAAGTTAAATAGGATTGTTCTCAATGTGGATCTACTCCAAATGATCGTCGTAAATATTGTACCGAATGTCATTCAATGCTAACGTGGACATGTACTGACTCAGGAAAATCTGGTTCGTACTCGAATTATTATCTTCATCGTAACAATTTTAGTTATTGTATACCAGAACTTTAAGAAGAAAAACAACAGCTTCAGGCTTTAGATGATAGTAAGTAATATTACTCTGTTAGTTTACACATGCATCTATTAGTCGATTATTTTGTGCTGCAGGAATAGTCAAAAATTAATAACTATTGTAATTTTTTTCTATATTGTAGAACTACGTCCTTGGTCTGAATGGAGACGTACCAATGCATCTTGCGTGCAACATACTGGACATGATATCGAGCAAGTACAAGAATTGTATGCTATATGTGAACAACCGTTTATAAATTATTGTTCCCATACACTCTAAGTTAAAATGCGTCGACTTTTTCCGTCGTAAATTATAATGTCGTGGGTTCCAGCAAGAAAATGTGTCGCACATTTATGTGTCGTATTTTTAACCGTTCTGTACATATATGACGACTATTCATTCACCGATTTTGTTCTGTGTGTATATCTGTATATAATCGATCTGAACCATCACATGAAAATCATAAGTTTTCGTGCACCATTCTATATAATATGTTTCTCGATTATATATTTCTTGTAAATATTTCGAGAAATAATGACCTCACCTAAATAGAGGTCTACCTGGCAACAGTCCGACCAAGATCTGACTGGTTTACACTGTTGCATCAAACACTGATGCTAATTGCGCTAATTAAATATTGATAGATGTAATGCACGAAAGAAAAAAAAATTATGAATATGGTGAAACCCAGATTCGAACACTAATTTCAGAATGTGTCGGATGTGTCGTGGGATAATGTGTCGTACGCTTGCTGGAGAAAATGTGTCGTAACGAGCACCTCGTGTCGTGCTCGAATGTGTCGTGAAATGTGTTGTGAATCACGACACATCCGACACATTTTAACTTAGAGTGTAAGAACTACCGACTTACAAACAGTGCCACTACCTCGTATTTTTCTCCTATGAATATGCTTGTCGTTACACTATGGCACTTAAAACATTATCATTCTGAATGTTATATTGCTTCAGAATCGAATTTAAGTCAACCAGCAGTGAATTATTTATTATCAACAGTTGCCGATATTTTACATTCGTGTGTATATCCAGAATTAGTTTCAATACCTGCTAACGTATCAATCAGTAGAACACCACACGGACTTCAACAATACCATAAACTAATAGTCGACTCGACTTTTATTGCAATTCCTGAACCTTATGATTCAGAACAACGTAAAGCGTATTATCATGCGAAAAGATCAACAAATTATGCATTGAAAGTACAAATAGCTTGTGACTTTCATCATCGAATAGTACACGTATCCGAATGTTTTCGTGGGAGTGCACATGATATTACAATTCTAAGAGAATCAGAACTATTAGAACATGTAAACGACGCCGTGCAAATTATTGATGACAAAGGATATATTGGTGAAGAATACGTAGTTATTGCCAGAAAAAGCCTCATGGACGCGAATTAACAGATGAAGATAATAATTTCAATCATGGCATTAATAGCGCAAGAGCAGCTATTGAAAATATTAATCAACGTCTTAAAGCTTATGCAATTCTTGGTGGTGTCTACAGAGGAACTATTGATGATTTTCATAAGGCAATAAAAATCGTACAAGTCGTTCGTGCTCTATGTAATTTGAAGTTAATAAAACATCCTATTCGTAGATACACAAAATGATAACTTGTATTTTCTGATTAATTACTTGATAATGAAACTTATTGATCTTTCATGCTGTTTCAGATTTCTTAATGGAGAATGATGTATGTTAACAAATATGATGTGAAGCACGTTTAGCACAATGATCATAAGGATGTCCTTAGTAACCCTCATTTTTACTAATATATAGATCTCAAATAGTCACAGATCAGTAGCATTATGTAAGAGGTATAAATGATAAAAAGATCAAAATTTTCTGATAGATGGATGAACCTACATGGATAAATAAATGTTGGGACATCCTGTCAGGTGATCACGCCCATATACTAATCTAGCTGCAATGCGTGAATAGTTATAATACAATAACAATGAGTATTTCTGTTTCTTTTTATTGTATTGAATAACATATTGAAAATCAGTACAATATTAAAACATTATCATTCTCTTGAACAAAAAAATGATTATTAATATTAGTACAAAATTTAATGCTAAATTTCAAACTATTATTGATATTCACTATAACTAAAACCACCAAGCACACCAATTTTTGCATGCTGTTGTTGATTCATAAACGTGTGACCAACATTTAGCCTTCACTTCATTTTTTGCAGCACCAACATCCATTCCATGAGTTGATGGTATTTTTCGACAAAATGCTTCTCGTGCAGATTCACCATCAGCACATGCATTTTGACATTGAGTCAATGTCAATTTACCATCTATTGTCCAAATCATGAACATTAACACAATGAACAAACATATCAAT